ACATATTACCAAAACCAAGGCTTTTAAAGCTTTATTCATTCTTTTAAAAATGTTTTAAGGAGCTAGAGAGATGGCTCATCAGTTAAGAGTGTACTGTGCTTCCAGAAGACCTGGGTTCAATTCCCAGCACCTACATCAGACAGCTCACAACTGCCTGTAACTCCAGCTCCAGGGCTATTGGACACCTCTCTCCTCTTCGAGCAAATGCACTTGGATACTACACATACATATAAATAAAAATAAACAAAATAAAAATTTTAAAATTTGCTTATTTTGTGTGTCCATGTGCAGTGTGCATGTGTGAGATGCATCTGTATGTGGTGTATGTACTTATATGTAGACAGCTATGCACACACCTTTCCTCTCCTGAAAGTCAGAGGAGTGTAGGGTGTCCTCGTCTATCATTGTCTGCCTTATTTTTTTTTAAATTATTTTATGTGCACTGGTGGGAAGGTGTCAGATCCCCTGGAAACAGAGTTACAGACAGTTGTGAGCTGCCATGTGGGTGCTGGGAATTGAACTCAGGTCCTCTGGAAGAGCAGCCAGTGCTCTTAACTGTTGAGCCATCTCTCCAGCCCCCTGCTTTATTCCTTTGAAGCAGTGTCTCTCTCTGAACCTGGAGCCCTTTGGGCTTGGCTGGCCAAAGTGATTGTTTTTGTCACTACCCCCTGCAGTACTGGAGTAACAGGCATGCATGGTATTTGCCTGGCTTTGTACATGTGTGCTGGTGTCCACTCAGGTCCTCATGGTTGCACACCTAGCACTGGGCCCTCCCCCAGAACTTTTATTCACTCTTGGCCCCTCACCTGACAACATTTTAGTCAATATCACGTGTATAAAATAGGTCTGTATAAACCAAACATTTATTGATAACAAGTCGTAAAGAAATTTATTTTAGGCTGGGCATGGTGGCACACAACTTTTTAAATCTCAGCATTGAGAGGCAGAGGCAGGCGGATCTCTGTGAGTTTGAGGCCAGCCTGGTCTACATAGTGAGTTCCGGGACAGCCAGGGTGATACAGTGAAACCTCAGCTCAAAAAAAAAAAAAAAAAAAAAAAAAAGGAGAGTAAAAAATAAATTTATTTTAAAGAAACTCTTTGCATACATGTACTTTTACCATTAATTAAAGACAAAGTCGGGCTGGAGATATGGCTCAGAGGTTAAGAGCACCGACTGCTCTTCCAGAGGTCCTGAGTTCAATTCCCAGCAACCACATGGTGGCTCACAACCATCTATAATGAGATCTGGTGCCCTCTTCTGTATACATAATAAATAAATAAATCTTAAAAAAAAAGACAAAGTCAAATTTGCATACTAATGCGATGCCTGTTTATTTTTACATAAAGAATTAAATCTTGGCTGTATATTTAATATTGCAGGATGTAGAACATCTTCCAGATTTTTCATAGTTGATTGATACTTTGATTTTATAATTCTCCTGCTGAAACTGCCTCCTTGTATAAATATGTAGTATAAAATGGCAGAAATACGTTTAGAGTCATCAGAAAGTGTCAGAAATTCTGTTCTACTACCAAGACAAATGCACTGAATTTTTTAAAAAAAAAATGAAACTTTAGTCAGCAACTCAAATAGCTATTTCTATTTTTTAATTTGTATTACATTTTATTTATTTTGTGTGCATATATGTGGGAGTCATGTGTGTGCTACTGTGCACACATGGAAGTCATTCACAGGTGGAGGTCAGAGGGCAACTTTTGGAAGCAGGCTTTCTCCTTCTAATAGATGGGTCCTGGGGATCAAGCTCAGGTTGCTAGGCTAACAGCAAGTGCTTTCAACCACTGAGTCATCTTGCCAGCCAAAGAACAATCTTAAAAGTCAAAGATTCCAACACAGTACAACCCAAATATGACATGTGGAGGAATAATAGTAGGAAAATACTTAAAAGGATTTACTTTCTGTAAATAAACCATTAGGTTTCTTTAAGAGCAGAAAAAAAATGCCGCATTCGTAACAGACAACAGCGTTGGATCTGAGCCAAGTTGTTTCAGATAGCCTTCATTAGCTTTCCATGGTATAGTGACATGTCAGTGTAAAGTATGCATGTTGTGTGTTCGGAATCTAGGCTGCAGTGAAGTGGTACAATACAACACAGGCAAGGACGGCCAGAAACACCTCGAATTGGTGATGCATGTTAATCACTGAGCATTCAGAAACCTTTTACTGTTGCTAAAATTTTCTCTTTACATTTGAATGCACATATAAGTGACAGAAGTATTTGGAGCTGCTGTGCGTTCTTGTGAATGGTGTGGCAATGTCTCTAGTAGTGCAGTTCGTTTTGTGTTGTTTTTGAGACATGGTCTCACTACATATGTAGCCTTTGGTGTCCTGGTACTCACTCTGTAGACCACCACCATGCCCACCCTCCAAAAATGCTTTTTTATTAATATTTATTCATTCATTTATTTATTTGTTTGTTTGCACACATACACACACTTGCAGGAGTCAGTTCTTTCTTTGTATCAGGTCAGTCCTGGGATATAACTCAAGTTATCAGGCTTGCCAGCAAGTGTTAGACCTAGCAATGCTTTCTGATTTCAGATTTAATCTATGTGATATTAGGATGTGTCTATAAACTTTCTTTTGTATAATGTCTTAGGGTTTCTGTTGCTATGAAGAGACGCTGTGACCACAGCAACTCTAATAAAGGAAAACATTTAATTGGGGGTGGCTTACAGTTCAGAGGTTTGGTCCATCATCCTCATGGTGGGACATGGCAGCATACAGGCAGACATGGTGCTGGAGAAGGAGCTGAGAGTTCTACATCTTGATCTGCAGGCAGCAGAAGCAACTGTGTGTCACACTGTGGGTAGCCTGAGTATAGGAGACCTCAAAACCTGCCCCCTACAGAGACACACTTCCTCCAAGGCCACACCTACTCTAACAAGGCCACACCTCCTAATAATGCCACTACTTAAGGGCCAAGAATTCAAACACATGAGTCTATGGGGGTTATACCTATTCAAAACACCACAGATAGTGTTTAAATGGCATACCTTTCCTCACATTTTTGTTTTGTGTTTGTTTTTGAGACAGGGTGTTATTTAGCCAAAACTGGTCTCAAATTCACTATGTAGCCAAAAATGATCATGAATTTTTGACTCTCCTGGTTCCAAGTGTTGGTATTACAGGCAGACATGCCCGGTTTTACCACAGATTTTAAATATTTCTATAAATTTTTATAATACATACATTTCTTAATTAAAGCAAGCAACTGTGTGTGCACCTGCACATGTATGAGTGAATGTACTCAATCTGTTTTTAATTGATGCATTTAGTAAAATTATAGTTAATATAATTTGGTGTACATTAATTGATCTTTTGAATGTACTGTCTCTTCGTTCTGTGTTTATTTTCTTCCTTTTAGCTTTGGATGGTTAAGGTTTTAAAATTATTCATGGAATAGGAGCTGAGTAGATCAGTCTATGGGTTTTTTTTAAGCTTGTATGAAATCTTGGGTTTAATTCCTAGGAGCTCAAGAAAATTATTCCCTACTCCTATAACTCCCTAACTAACACCCATTAAAAACTTTTTGGGGGGTTTATTGTGGTGGTCCATGCCGTTAATCTCAGCATTCAGGGGGGCAGAGGTGGGCAGATCTCTATGAGTTCAAAGCCAACCTTGTCTATATTGAAAGTTCCAGGCCGTCCAGAGCTATACAATGAGACCCTATCTTAAAAAAAAAAAAGTTGTTTTTTTTTTTCAGTTGTGATGGCACACATATCTGAAGAGGCAGAGGCAGAGAGACAGGAGGCTTACAAGGTTGAGAACAACCTAGGCTACACATTCTCTAGGTGTGGTGGGTGGCATGCTACCTTAATCCCAGCACTCAGAAGGAAGAAGCAGGCCGATCTCTGTGAGTTCAAGACCATTGTGGTGAGTTCCAGGCAGCCAGGGCTACATAGCGAGACCCTTTCTCAAAAACAAATTGTTTGACAGTTTCATATACTTATATAATGAATTTTGGTTATTTTCACTTCGTGTCAATTATAACATGGTCAAGAACCCTCGAGGGATAGTCCCTGGTGGGGTCGGGGGTGGGGGACGACATACTGCTATTGTTCTACTAACTAGTCAGTGTTTCTTTAGAGCCTACATAGTTACCACTTTCCTTGTTCCTCATTCCTGCTCTACTCTGAGCTTCTGTCTTAAGAACACTGTTTAAAACTTTGTTCACTGAGTAATAGGTAATGCTCTCATGGCAAACTGTCTTCATTTTATTTTCTTTATTCAAATATATTCCAGTGTCATACAATTGTAGGTGGACAGACATTTCCTTATAATATCGTTTTCCTTTCTTTTCTTTTGTGAGGTAAGGTCTCACTACGGTGAACTTAAGTTCCCAGTTTAAAAAAAAAAAAGGTCATGCTTTTAACAAATGGAGACCTCTAGAGAAAACCACAGTCAATCAAAATGCAGAGTTGTGGAAACCCAGTCCTAATGGATATAATTACACACAACTCCCACACTTAAGGCTCAGGGAACAATGCTGAAGAGGGGGCAGAGAGATTGTAAGAGCCGGAGTATCAGGGAGTTTGCTGTGAGATTGTGTCTCCTAGTAACATCAGAAGCTACATCCACAAAGTCTCACCAGCATGACTGCCCGAACATGTGATGAACAAGGATAACACCAGTGAACATATCAAACTGCATGGGGGAGGGGTGGGGGGAGCCCATGTAGCCTAATCCTACACAAAGAACTACATGCAACTGAGCAAAGCTAGGAGACGGAGAGGTGGCCCTCCCCAGGGAAGAGCAAAGCAATTGGTTGTCCAGTGCCAAATGGTCAGCCCTGAAAACACACATACAAGTAACGTTATATGGACTCAACAGGTTATATTTGGAATATATGTATATGCAAACACATGTATGTATGCAATAACAACTGATGAACAAAGAGGGCGTGAATTTGAAGGAGAGTGGGGAGGGGTAGAGGGGAGGATTTGGAGGGAGGAAAGGGAAAAGAGAAATGTAATTAAAATACAATCAGTCTCAAAGATAAACAACAAAAAGCTATGCTTGTATTAAACATTCTATAAGGCTGATTGATTGAGAGTACGAATGCTACAGGTTGGGAGCCAAAATTATCTTAGACTAGCTTAGTTTAGTCCCCTAAGTAGCCATTTATTGCCCACCTATGTATGTGACCTAACTTCTTTGTGACTATTAGGTAAATATTTTTTTTTCTTTTCTGCAGCTGAGACCGAACCCAGGGCCTTGCGCTTGCTAGGCAAGTGCTCTACCACCGAGCTAAATCCCCAACCCTGGTAAATATTTTTTAGTGTATACAATCAGGCTCCCTAGCTTCCAGTAACTCAGAGGCTAAGATTGTTGCCACATAACACTGAAGCCTTGAAGCCTATTACAAATTGCTCTGTTTTGCTATAAATGGGAAAAAATAAAATCTATTTGATTTTTCCATCATTGAATTTGAAGTGACTTGATTGTTTTTGTTCTGTTACTATAAAACTTGATGAAATTGTTACTACATTGGAACATGATATTTGGATTAACTTTAGTCCGTGTTCCTGGGCCTGGAGACACTTAACTTTGGCTCCCGAATAAACTACCCCTTCTTTCCTTTGAGCTGTGAGCTGTATTTTTCTTTGTTTGTTTGTTTCAGTGCTTTGTAGTCCTAACTGGCCTGGAACTCACTACATAGCCCAGGCTGGTCTCAGACTTGCACTAATCTTGTTGCCTGTGCCCCCTAAGTGCTGGAATTATAGGTCCACATCACTGAACTCAGCCTCTCTCTCTCTCTCTCTCTGTGTGTGTGTGTGTGTGTGTGTGTGTGTGTGTGTGTGTGTGTGTGTGTGTGTGTGTGAGACTTGGCCTGCTCCGTTGTCTGCCCATCTCCCTGTTGTCAGGTCCTGAACCTACTCTTCTCTCTTTCTCCTCACAGGTGGACTCCACGCTGCAGCACTTCTTTTCATCCTCGACTCTCCTGTGGACCTCAGTAGCAGCGCCCTCCGGATTCTGTTGCTACAGCATCTTCAACTTGCATTTGTGCTGTAACCACATATATGCATATATGAGAAATATTTTCTCTTTGCAGTGTGTTATGAGACTTAATGTTTATTACTTGTTCTTTTAAAACTATTTTTATTTCTTAAATTTGTGTGTGTTGTGTGAATATGTGCATGTGAGTGTAGATGTCTGTGATGACCAAAGGAGTTGGATCTCCTGCAGCTAGAAATGCTGGTGGTTGTGAGATGTCGATGGCAGGAATTGAACTCTGGTCTTCTGGAAGAACAATACATGCTCTTAACTGCTGAGCCGTCTCTGCAGCCCCTTACTTATGTATCATTTAGTTAGTAATTAAGATTAGAATAACCTGTCTCTGCAAGATTACCAAGGTAAGCAGGATTATCTGGCAAATCACTGTCATTGAAACTGCTGACCTTAGTGAATTTACTGTTATTTACTAAATTCTGATATCATAGAAACTCTGTCCTATGGTGATTTTTTATTTGTGCTGAAATGTGATTTTATTTGTATGTTAATAAATAAAGTTTCCTGGGGGTCAGAGCTAATAGCAAGCCATTTAGCAGAAGTCTGGCAGTGGTAACACATGCCCTTAATCCGATCACATGGCAGGCAGAGTCTGTGTGTTCAAGGACATAGCCAGCTTGGTGACACACGCCTTTAATCCAAGTACCGACCATAGAGACCTGGAGGTCTGTATAGATAGGCAGTGACGAAGAAGTCATGTGGTTGGGTTTAGAACCAATGAGAAGGCAGAACAGAAAGTCAATAAAAAATACAGACACACAGGAAGTAGGTCTCTTTTCTCAGGGGAAGAACGGAAGCGACTGGTAAGCTAAAGGCTATTCACTAATGCTCTGACCTCTTGGGCTTTTAACTATTTGGCTCTGTGTTTCTTATTTAATAAGACTGTTTAGAATTACATCCACACTGTCCATCTATGTTTCTGGTATAGTGTTCTCACAACAAATACCTTGAGTTTGGTAAGTACCTCTGTGTAGACAAGTTCTATTCACATCTCTGTGTTCTGACCACAGCTGCTCTCCCCAGTAAAGTGACCATAATGTTTTGTTGTTTTGTTTTTGCTTTTTGTTTATTTGTTTGTTATTTGAGACAGGGTTTCTCTGTGTAGTCCTGGCTGTCCTGGAACTCACTCTATAAACCAGGCTGGCCTCGAACTCAGAGAGATCTGCCTGTCTGCTTTTGCCTCCTGAGTGCTGGGATTAAAGGTGTATGCCCCTCTCCCTCTGTCCTCCACCCCACAAGGACCGTTATTTTATCAACCAATAAATCAGACATTTCATTCCTTTGTTTAAAACCTTCCTGTGGCTTTGGAACTCAATCAAAATAAAAAGACTTATTTAACTGACTCCCTGGTTCCCACTTAGATCTTATCAGGCACACGGTGGTCAGCTAACTGCCTGCAAGGCCTCAAATGGGCCAAGCATGCTTGTGCCTTAGGGCTTGCTTCCCTCTTCCCTGCTTTTCACTGTTCTTTACTAAGATATTTTCAAGTTGATTTGTCCAACTCCAAGTTTCTGCTCAAATTTCACCTTTCATCAGAAGGCCTTTCCTGCCCACCCTATGTAAAATAGTACACCTATCTCCCTTTATTCCTGTTCAAAGTTTTTTCAGTTATAATAAAAGATGTGCTTCCTTGTTACACTTTCTTAATTATATACATTATACCTTGCATACATTACCTACCTCCACCATCCTTCCTTGTCCCTGCTCCCCACCTCTTGCTGCTTCCCTGACTCCCTACAGACTGTTCTTCCCCTTGAAAAACCAAACACTCCCATTTCAAGCAAGCCCCTCACCCCAGCTTGAAACAGGTCTGAGTTTCAAAATTCTCAGAGCTGCTGACATAAGTCCCAGGACAAAGTCAGGATGTTTGAAGAGCCATCTGGTAGCAATTGATTAACCATAGAATGCCCCAATGCCGGAAATGGTCAAAGTACAAAGTCAGGATGTTTGAAGGACTGTCTGGTAACAATAGATTAACCACAGAATGCCCCAATGCCGGAGGTAGTCTATAAAGTTTGACAAACAACCGGTTAAAACTACAAAGTAAGATAACACAGAAATTCTGAAAAGCCCCTCAAAGTTGAGCCAATCAGAATTATACCATGCTAGCACCCCTAAATGATGTAACCTTATGGCTTTTGCCTTTAAAACCTGAGCTTGTAGAGGGGCGGGCACCTCCTCCAGCCTCTACTGTGTTGGATGGCTTGACGAGGGCCCTGCCACGCTTGAACTGCTTCATTAAACCTTGCTTTTGCATTTTGGTGAGTTCGTGTCTCTGGTGGTTTCTTTGGGGGTCTCACGCCTAGGGCACAACACCCTTTTATAACACTCATGCGTGCGCGCGCGTGTGTGCCCCCCCCACACACACACAGAGAGAGAGAGAGAGAGAGAGAGAGAGAGATATTAAACCTGATTTCCCGGTATGACAGAAAACAGTCAACGTTTTTTCTTTCTCCCCCCTTTCAACAATGTAAAAACAAAACAAAACAAAAAACAAAACGCAAACAAACAAAATAACAGCACTCATTTCAAAAGCAACAGAGCCAAATAAGAGTGACCATGGCCCGGATTACAGATTTAGGTCACACAAATTTCACATTCCAACATGTTAACAGCTTTTTATAAATGTATCAGTGTTTTCTCTGTATGTATATATGTGCACCACATTCCTGTTTGGTGCTTGTGGAGCCAAAAGAGGTCATCAGTCCCCCAGAACTGGAGTTAAGGATGGCTGTGAGCCACCATGGGGGTGCTGGGAAGCAAGTTCAGGTCCTCTGGAAGAGGAGCAAATGCTCTGAACCATTTAGACATCTCTCTAGCCCTAAATGAAGATTTTGTCACGGAAACAATTTGAGCAGAAATTGAAACAGAATTTTGAGATCCATGAGGTAGTCTTTTAGATCTAAAATGTTTCTCAAAAGCTTATCACCCAGCTTGCTGCTATTGGGAGGGGGTAAAAATCGGTAAGACGTTGGTTGTGCTTACAGGATGAGCCTTCTGGTAAATGAATAATTGAGAATGGCCCATCAATAGGATATTAGTACCCTGTCTCTTCCTTTTCCTCTTTTTCACTTTCTAGCTGTCATGAGCTTTGCAGCTTCTTCTACTACCATATGCTCCTGCCTGCTGTAGTGTACTGCCTTGCCACAGGCACATAAACAATGAAATCAAATTTACCATGGACTGAAACCTCAAATGGCTCTGTGTGCTCCTGTAATCCTAGCCCTTGGGAGGATGAGAAGCTCAAGGCCAATAGCAAGTTCAAGACCAGCCCAGACTATATAAGACCCTGTCTCAAAAAAAAAAAAAAAAACCCAAACCAAAAACAAATGAAACCAACATCTCCAAAACTATGAACCAAAACAAACCTTTCTGCTTTCTCCCTTCTGCTCCAATGGGCCCTAGGCAAGTGTCTGTCCTCATTTAAAGGTAATTATCTGAGGCATTTGTGACATTAATGAAAACCAACTCACAGAAAAATAAAATAAAAATCAATGAGGAAAGAACAAAGCATCTGTAAAGGAAACTAGAGTTACTCAAAGCAACATAAAAGGACTGAATTTTGCAAAGATGTTATCCCCAAGTTGATTCATAGTTATTGAAATTCTCATTTTAAAACCTCACACTACATTTTTGTGTAGTCAGAAAGATCCTAATGTTTTATCTAAATAATTATATGTATCTAGGAAGTTTATGAGAACAAATTTAATACAGGGAAGGCTAGGGGCTAGAGTCATAGCTCAGCCAGTAAACTTCTTGCAAGCATCTAGACCTGAGTTCGACTCCCAGCACCCAAGCATGGTGGCACATGTTTGTAATCAGTCCTGGGGAGGCAGAGGCAAAAGGGTTCCCAGGACCTACTGGTTAACCAGCATAGCTGAATCAGTAAATCCCAGTTCCCTGTGAGAAATCCTGTCTCAAAAAATAAAGTTGGTGGCTCCTGTGGGCTGACAGCCAGGGTTCACACACACATGCATACTCATGTATCCTTACACATACACAGAAGTAAGTCTAACTCTACTATACTTGAAAACAAATTGCAAGGCAGTAGTAATTTTAAACTTATGATTCAATAAAATAATAAATAAACTAGGTACATATGATAATTTGGATTTTGGTAAATGTAGCATTTTGAAACCAGTAGTGAAAATATCAAATTGTCCAATAAAACTGTCTGGAAAATTGGCTGGTATTTTTGAAAAATAGAGATGCTTTTCAACCTCATTTCTTACTCTGGAAAAAATTCAAACATCACAAGGATTTAATTAATAGAACCATAAAAGTATTATAGGAAGAAAAAAATTAGTGAGGCATTTGTAAACATAACATAAAGCCAGAAACTCACAAGGCAAAATACACAAATTCAACTGCACACAAGAGAAAAATAAAAATAAACCTATGCAATGTAAAATGTTAGAGATAAAAGTAAAAAAATAAATTGGACATAAATACACTACAGATGATAGAAAAATGTTTAATGAAAAAAAACAAACCCTTATGATCAATAACCAAACAATAAGCAAAATGGATATAAGATGGACAAATATATAGATAGCTAATAACTTTATTAAAGACACTCATTGTTGTTAATAACTAATGAAATGAAAGGCAAAATATTTCCTTTGAGCTATTGGATGGTCAAAGATGCAAAATATTGACAGGTCTGTCCTTTGGTGGACCAAGCTGTGTACCACACCCAGGCTCTCATCAGGGCAAGCAAGGGCTCTCCCTTATATGTTTAGTAGTCTGTGGCCTTAAAAGCTGTCTGAGGTTCCTTGGCAGTATCTATATGAAGAGAAGGGGTATCTTCCAAGAGAAGATGTGTACAGTATGGCTGCCCAAGAAGAGTTTTGTCTACAGTCTCATCGTAGTGTTATAGGGCTACTGAACTTTTTAGCTGATGCTTCCTCGTGCAACATTAAATGCTGGTGTGAATGTAAGTCATGAGTCTTTCAAGACCAGTTCCCAGTAATCCAAGTAATGATAGGATGATGGCTTTGGTTTAAATAGGTACTTTCCATTGGGGTAGTGAAAGTTGGTAGAGAACTTACACTGGAGCTGTCAATTAGAGGTCTCAATGCGGCTGCAATGCCATTTCTTTTCAACAGACAAAAGAGTGGTATGCCTTTTTGCTAGCCTTTTGCTATCTGATGAATGTAGTATTTGTATGGCATTATAGTTAATAGGTAGAGTGTGGAGGTGGACAGATGTCTCAGTGGGCAAGAGTACTAGCTGCACTAGCATAAGGACCTGAGTTTATGTCCCCAGCACCAACATTAAAAAAAAACAAAAACAAAAACCCACCACCAACAGAATCAGAGATAGGCGGTTCACTGGAGCTTGCTGGCCACTGGGGTAGGTCCAGAGTCAGTGAGAGAGCCTCCTATGGCCTCCACACACACCCTCCATGCATGCACACAGTACTTAAACACACACACACACACACATATATATATATATATATATATATATATATATATATATATATATATAGAGATAGATATATATATAGAGAGAGAGAGAGAGAGAGAGAGAGAACATGAGAACAAGAGAGGAGGGGCTGGATTGATTGCTCAATGATTAAGAAAACTTGGTGCTTTTTTACAGAGGACTGGCATTTGGTTCCCAGAACCCTCATGGAAGGCTCATAGCCACATGTAACTCCAGGTTCGAAGTATCTGAAGCCCTGGTCTGTCCTCCTTAGGCATCAACATGCATCCACCCAGACACAGACACATAAGCAAAAAAAAATGGATCTTTTTAAAACAGATGTTGACTCTGGGTTACTGCAGTGCATGCTGAGCTCAGTAGACTATCATCTGGAGCTCACTCCAGTCCTTACTGCTTGTTCCATG